AGACTAGAGATTCTATTAGAACCACCACCACGTGCGGAGTTCTCAGCCATAAAGTGGGCAGGGAATTACCCAAACCGTTCCTCAGTTTATCATCTTAAGGGCTGAGAGCCTCCCGCACCGTGCGAGAGTTCTGATAGGATACAAACTCAACTTGTGCATGCACAAAAGTATAGTAGTAGCAACGTATAAATGGATACTGGTAACTTGGAGACCGGAATAGAGTTTAGTTCAAAAATCATCAACTATGAATTAAGACATCAACTCAGCATCACATGAATTTTAACCTACTTATGCAGATTCAGGTCGATTGTGCTAGATAAAAACCACAAAGGACCTCCATAATTCTTCTTAAATTCAAGCGTAAGCTTCAAATCCAATGTATAGCTTTAGTATGCTCTTTTTAAAAAAAACAACTTTTTGCTAGATGAAGGCCACAAATACTTGCCTTTTTATCAAAAGCTTAGCTATGATCAGGATACTGACATAGTGTGGAAGTGGTTTGTTTTTACATTGATTTTTCAAGACAGAACAAATTGTAAGATAAAATTTTCGTTCCCTTCCTCTTTTCCTTAGCGAGCTAGAATTTTAAAATTTTCAATCAAGTCATTTTGAAGTTTAATTACTAACAGTTCCAAGTGGGTTACATAATCCAACTTATTAATCCTCATCAAAGAATAAAAAATTGTTCGTAAGGGTTCCTTCCTAGACTTCCCCGAAAACTCTAAAGTCAAAACATCCTGAATGTTTTAACAGATAGATGTTTGACCAAGGAGATTGCCCATTTAACTGATAGAAACCCTAATCTAGCTAAATACCAAAACTGATCACTGTGGACAACCCCAAGGCAATGTTTTAAATATCGGTTATCGGGAATTTATCGAACAGTCAAAATCCTTATCGGATAGCAAAAATTAAGGATATATCGGGGATAAGTAGTATTTATCGGAGTGATATACTAGATGGTGTATGTACATAATATAATAACCAAAAAATATAATCTAACCATACTTAATGAAATATAAACATACCAAAATATAAATAATCATTTTTAGAATCACTAACCAATTGTAGAAAGTGAGTCGGGTCGGTTTAACTAATCACTAAATAACTGTCCATTACCCAAAAATTCAACTCAAAATTTGGCCTGATAAAGCCGATATTTAGAGCCTCCCTTATTGGCCGATAAGTACCTTTATCGTCGATAACTCGCCGATAAACCCCAAAAAACCATAACCGATTAAAAATGATATTCATCCTAGCGAAAAGCTCCCAAATCCGATAACTCGATGATAATATCGGATTATCGGCCGATATTTAAAACCATGCCCTAAGAAATTGGGATGAGAAGCTTTTTCAGTGTAGTCGGATCAACTGTGAGAACCACAGGTCTTGCACTTAACTGGTTTGCCCCTTTATGCCTTCTCTTTATTTCGTGCCAAATACCTTTTTTGTCCATTAATTTGGCTCAGTATTTGGGATAAGAGACTTGTCAATTTAATTTTCCCGCCTGGAGTTCCTTTAGCTGGAAGGGCCCCTTTCTCTCTGCATATGGCTCTTAATGGATAAAACCGCTTCCAACATTCTTGGGCATATGTTGTTGTACAATTTCATTGTGGATGCAATATACTCGTACTTGTCAAACATTTAAAATCTTTTGAAATTTTCTTCATATTGGACCCTAAATTTTATACTGTTTTATATCAAGCACCAAAATTTTCGTATTTATATATTACACATCCAAATCTTCATGTTTTCAAGAAAATTAATATATTTTGGGATGTTAGCATTACAAATAAGAATGTTTGGGGGTCAAATATAAGAATAGGATAGAATTTAAGATGTACTATGTCAAAAACCAAAATCTTTTTATGCTGGAGTGAGATTAACAATGTCAAAGAAAACTAAACATCTCCAAAACTTGGAAGCTCACACAGTCTCGGAGCTGATAGATGGTAATGGTGGAAGGTTAGTGATTGCACCATCACATACTATGTGCAAACCACAAAGGTCATCAACAAAGGACAGTACACCACCATCAACCCACATTATTGTTTGACATGTCAAGTACAATTGAAACCAAGTTCATCACATTACGCCAGTCTACTGAAAACACAATGTCTGTAGTTGTCATGATAAATGACAGCAACTAGATAAACCTTCATTCTAGTTGCTTGGTGCAAACTTTCAATTTTTTCCAACTCTTCCTATTTATCTCCATTCACAATCACAAGAAACTTATCAATTATCATTCTCAAATCAGTTAATAAAAAAAGTTCCTCCCAACCGCTCAAAAAAAATTAATAATAAATAACACAGAGAGTGAGAGAGAGAGAGAGAGGGAGAGAGAAGGCCAAAGACAAGAAATCCCTATTTGAATATTTGTGGGAGGCAAGTTGTCAACTTATATTCTACTTCATTAACATACTCTTACCTAAGATATTGGGACAAAATATTCCTGTGGGAACAGGAATATTATGAAATAAAACTATTATGCAAATTGTGGAATATGGCGTTAGGAAACAACAAAACCGCTTTTTTTTTTAAAAAAAATAGGTACTAGAGTTCCCACTCTCAATCCATCGAAAGAAAGAATATTTGGTCAACTATCTTAATATTAAACAACTAACAACTGCAGGTGAACTGAATTTAAGAGAGACAACCGGAGTGCAAAAGGCCTCTAACAATTGGATAAGCAGTCAGGAATATGGTGAATGAACATAAAAGATGTTACTTACTGGACCATACTTCCTATGAAGAGAAGATTACAATAATTGAAAATGAAAATTCAGACAGCCTTGTTTGTGAAATTAAAAACACGGTTAACAAAAGAACTTTTTCTCTCTCCATCTTCTCTTGATAACGTGTCTTCTTAATTATCCAAGTGAAATCAGTAGGAGGGAGGTTTCACAAAATTTGGATGAGAATTATGGGTATGTTCGGTACCAAACACCAAATTTGGTGCTTGGTAATGAAGTAGTCACTTCTATTCATTCAATTATCCAATCCATGTCCACCCATGATAAGGCGGTCTTCATTTAAATAAGTGGATGAGAATGAGCCACATCATTACCAAGCACCAAATTTGTGCTTGGTACTATGCAAACCCTTTTTTATGTGTGGGAGTAGAAAGAGAGAATAAGAATAATGGATCTATGTGGAAAAATGTAGAAATCGCCTTTGGAGAATCCATGTTTCAAACTATCTTGCTTCGCTGGAATAAAATCATTTGCTATGGCCTTATGACTACAACTTCCAATTGGTTAACATGGAAAAATTCATGGAGAGGTTGGAAAACTCATGCTTATTACAGCATTTTGTAACCAAGGAAAGTCGTCAGTTTGTGATATCTGTCATTCTCAATTATTAGAACCCTCGCATCTTAATTTTTCTTACAAATGTTTGGAGACTTTAGCACTATAGATAAGGGTGAACGATCATTTTGAATCTAAGCTACTACATTCAATCATCATAAGACTTCATGCTGGTCTTAAAAGGTTCAGGACTCAGTTAAGACACTTAGGTTCCAAGTATTTCCTCACTATTGTAAGACTACTATAGCATACGAAAGCCAACAGTAAAATGGTTATCTTGCATATTAATTGCCATTTTGTATCATTGGATTATTTGAAGACTCATGAAGGTGATGAAAGGTTTCATGCCTCCCTAGTTAAGGCCCTCTACAAGTTTTCTCCCTATGTAGTGCATACTCTGAGAGATTTATTTAGGCCACTACGAAATTAGGAGTTACATTAGTATTATATTATAAATAAAAGTAGAGAGCAATGATAAATTGACTCTCTCAAGTCTTTAATTTCCTCAGGAAACATGATATCAGAGTCATTCCCCTCAAAGAACCTAACCCGATTTTTCACTCCCCTCACTGTCTTCCACATCAAATCCCTCTCAACATCAGCCTTCATAGGAGCCCTTCAACATCAACCCTCCACATCAGCCTTCATTATCAATTTTTTCCCTCCACCCCAAACCCCATTTATCCCTGAGACCACGTACGTGCTTTTCCCTCCACATCAACCCATCCTATGTTCTTTCTTAGGACAGAAGAAACACCAGAAAACAATACCTCCAGAAATTCACAGAAGGAATCCAATTCGATGCTTCTTCATGTCCTCTCCATCAACCAAAACGAAGCCTCAAGCACATACCCCTCTTCACAACCAGAGTCGAACCCTTCACCCACCTGCTCTACATCCTCCACCTACCGCCCCCTGCTGCCTCCCCAACCAGAGCCAATGCCAATGCCTTCTTTTTCTTCCTCGACTAGACCAAAAGCGGTATATTGTTTTGTGACAAGCTGTATAAAGGATATATCGGCCAACATATGAATTGATATATCGTTCATGTCCGAGATACATCGCTCAAAATGTGCCAAACAAGGGTAAAACTGTAAAAAATATTGAGACCATATCGTTTTGCAGCAAACCTTATAAAAGAATATATCACCAATATATCGATTATATTACAAATATATAAAACAATGGTAATATGGAAATGACTGTGGACATTTTATGTAAACAAACAGGTGTACAAATATCCCCCACTCCACCTTTCCCCAACCAATAAAATTGCAATTGCAGACTTGTATGTCATCACAAATACTTATCCAGAAAAGAATTAAGATGCAGAGAGAATTAAATGACACGTCATGCAGTGCCTCACGTTTGGGTTATCAGAGACATTTCTTGGCATACAATCAAACATGTTGCTTTTGATAATAAAGTCGACAACTAGTATAAGCCAGATGGTACAACAGAAAATGAATATGATCAGCAGATCTGTAGTATTGGCTTCCATATTAACCATTATATAACATTAACAATTCAAAACATTAGAGCTCATACCCTGTTACCAATTCAATATTAAACAGACATGGATGTTAAAGCATATTGCGATTATTATTTTGCAGGATCTTGATTTAAACATTAGCATGCAAGATATTTTACAAAACGTATAAACCACTACTATCGCAGAAGAACCAGAGATGGACAAAAACTTCTATTCATAGCCCGAGTTTCAAATATACTGGAATTACAAAAAAAAACAAAATAAAAAAACAAAAAACAAAGGAAAAAAGATATTAAATAAATCCCTAATATCCCAACGTGATGCTACCTGAGCTTAGTATGTATATACTGACTCTTGGTTTCATTCTACTTCCAATGTACACAAGCAAAACTCACAAAATAAATTATAACATGAAATTTTAGAAGCAAACCCGTGAATTCGGGATGGAATCCATCAACGTCCCTAAGCAACATCCTCATATTCAGTCTCTGAAATATTTAAACAAATTACCGAAGTATATGAGCGAGCTTATAGTAACGCAAAGTACAGACCATTTTAAATCTTGCCCATCTTCTTACATGCTGAAACATGAAGCATGAAAGTGTGATCCCATCTTATTATAAGCATTTTTATATAATCTATCTTCAGAAAAATTCAATTTGTTAAAATGAGACAAAGTCAAGAAAAGGTTCTTCAATTGCAGAAAGGGTTATATTCTGTCAAACTATCTAACAAAAGTGCTATGAAAAAAAATGACTCCATATCAGATTTAGTTTGTACTTTGATGGAAGTTTAACAATAGGGTTATGAAAGTACCTAAATAAAAAACTGCCAAAGGAACATTGAATTGCAGAAAATAGTATGAAAATAAAACTCTAAATGCGAGACTACAGGTGCAGACAGAGGATTAGATACAAAAAAGGAATCATGCTGGTTGATGCAAGATATACATCATGGTACTTAATATAATGATAAATTTAGGATATATTGAGGCAATCTCTAGAAGAACACAAAAGAATGACTGTGAAAAAAGTTAGCTCATTTCTCCTGCTATATAACGAGAACCATCAATCACTGGTGCCAACTGAAATATCTCATTAAAACTCATTCTTAATCGTAATATTGGCTCAAAAGCATGCTTCTCTGCCTTTCCTCTTTTCCTTTTTTCCCCTTCTCTTTAGGTTTTCTTGTTCTGTAACAAAGATATGAAGACCTCTTATGCATAATATATAAGCCGTGTGTCATACCTCGCCATTACAGATTCTGGTCAATTATGAGGAAAAGCAAATCAGTCAACAACTTTATTGCAGAAGGTGGTGATTGAAACAAAGACCATTAGGAGACCTATGTGTTGACCATTTCACATCTACCATTTTGTGTGTCACCTAGACATGTGATAAACTGATAACTATACTCCGCATTCTCAACCTAAACCAAAATAACTCTCAAAATTTCTAAATGTACCCAGCCATTACTGGTCCATTACCTCTCCAAACAAAAGATCAACAAATAGCTTACATAGCCACAATCATCTGATAGCAACATCACGAGATTTGAATCATTAGATATAGTTTTTAGTATGTTGCATTTTACAGTTATTATATTACAGAGTTATCACTTCCAATCATACTGGCGAACCTAATCCCAACCAGATATACAGTTGCCAGGTATAAATAGCCCATGATCTGGTATAGTCATTACCAAGATCAAGCTAATTAGCCTGACTGATAACCAGGACATATGCATTTTGATCCAATTGAAATATGGAAAAAAGGACAATGGTAAATATAACCCTTTCACTCAATGCCTTATCCTGTTCTTTTGCTATACTATGAACAAAATATTCCTTAGAAGAAGAAGAAAATATAACACAAAATAGGAGAAAACTATCATTTACGCACCCAGCCTACCAAACATTAATGTTCTCAAGCTCATCAAGACCACTCAGATGTGTTAACAAGCATTCTTTAGTCTCTAGTAGTCATTATCTTCCGAATCTTGATGGGATTAATTGATGGCTGGGGCATGTGCAAAGAGACCATTAAGTGCTAGGGTCTGGGAAATCAAAGTTTATGGCGCAAGGGAAAAGGATAGACTAAAATGAACATGAATTCCGACAGTTAGATGGATGTTAATTTTAAATACGGAGATGGCTCTTAAGAAAGCTGAATGGGGGAAAAAGTCATCATGTTGCTGACCTCAAAGGTTTGGGATAAAACAATTTGGTGGAAGCCGTGGTGCTCATGTTAGTGACGGGTGCTATTGATGTTCGCCATTAGATCCTTATTATTGGATGATCAAGAGCCCTTATTCATCATTCGAATATCACATCCCTTCATCATTGATGCATACAATCAATGTTACATTAAACGTTGAGCGCTTCTAGGCGTCGGACTTGGCGCCCAGCGCTTAGTCGCCTAGGCGGGCGCCTAAGAGGTTTCTGGGCGTTTTTTTTCTTTCTTCATTTAAGTGGTGATCGATGAGGTTTTGCTGAAGGTCGGAGGAGGTAGTGAAGATGTTCATATTTAGAGGTTAATGGAGTTTGGAGGACGTGTAGACTACGACACATAAAATCACAATCAAGGTCTACAGGGTGCAATCCACGTAAGCAGACAATGCTCCCCTAAACACTCGTAAAATTTAGGTGGGCAGCCTAAATACCGCCTAGGCGTTAGGCGCTAGTTAGGCGGCCTAGGTACCGTCTAGGCCTAGGCGTACGCCTAAGCGGACTAGGCGGAGGTTTTTTGAAACAGTGCATACAATATGAAAAACTATTTCACATATTTTTGCACTTTCATAATTCTCCCTTTATATCTCAACATATCTGTTTGTTACCCACATAATTTTCTCGAAACATGATTATTAAATCCAATTTTCAGTTTTTACTGGGAGGGGCTAACTATTTTTCTCTCCATAAAACTTGGATCATAAGATGTTATGGGCTATCAGTTTTTGCAGAATAGATTTCATGGAAATCAAACAGATAAGGCATTTATCAACTTATGTTCAACTTTTTCTCCATAAAACTTGTATCATAAGATTTTATGGGCTATCAGTTTTTGCAGAGTATATTTCATGGAAATCAAGCAAATAAGGTGTTTATCAACTTATGTTCAAGTTCTATGCAACTATTTAAGCTTCAAGTATTATGCTACTCTAAACAGAAGCAACAAGACAACTTCCCGTTTTGTAGTGAGCTACAACTTTTTCTAATTGTATGAAAGGAAGACCAACTGAAACCCATAATCTGATTGTCACGGCAATTTATCTCCCTAAAACTCATATATGCTGACATGTACTATACCACTCTCTCCATCACAGGCACACGCTCACACACACAAAGAAGTAGAAATATGTTACATAAACGGAAGGCAGGTTTGGTACATAACCTAGCATCAAAATGACTTATGAAACAGTTGTGTGTAACAATGCATTTGCACACAGTATTTGTCCACATCCAGTATTAGGTGTTTTCGATGCATAGTGAATTACAAATCAATTAATTGCAAGAAATAGCATATATCATCATAAAGGATCAAGGAAACCTCCTACAAAGAACCAGGAAGTGCAGAATTTAAGTTTATAAGAAGCTAAACCTGTTATACAGGCAGAGTCCAGAGAAGTTGACAAAGGAATCTGTCCAATATTAAATGCTACACGTTCACCATAAACCCTGTATTGACAAAATGTTAAGTCAGAAATTTAGATCCATAGAGGTAAAAAAAATCAGTTTGTGATAAGAAGTCACCTTTCACGGTATTTCACATTCCTATCCTCATCAGACAGAATAAAAATTCTGCTATCAGAATTCATAACACCTGTCCAAATATCTGATTGAAGCTCACACAACACATTGTATAACTTAACCCAATTGCCCTCAACTGGAAAACAGTCGAGGTCTTCAAAAAACTTGCCAGTAGATATCCTCAAAACAGTTCCCAGACATGGAAATAAGGATAATGTCTCCTCTGACAAAGATGTTGGTTCACTGTGTAAAAGGGACGGATTTTCCTTTACCGGGTCTAAACTGTGCTCAGAGAAGAAGAAATGAGACCCAATACATATTATTCTCAACCAACAAATAAAAAGCAATAAGAAGAAAAGATGAAAATACTAAGAAAAAGGAATAAGCTATTAGACCTACTGTTTAGTTTTTCTATTTTGGCAGCCAACAAAGAGTGGAAAGAAGAGAAGGAGGACGATGCATGAGGGAAGTATATAAGAAAGCGAAAAAGAAGACAGGAGCAGTAGGAAATAGAAATAAGAATTGGAGGAACAAGCAATGTAAAGAAGGAAAAGAAAAGAAGGAAGAAAAATTGGAAAAGAGAGCATGGCTTATAGTTTTTCAGCTACTTCATTTTTCAGGTTATACAGCTCGTTCATCGATTAGTTACCTGTTACACGTTAGATGCATGATTCATTTACTTGTTTTAGAAAAATACCTAATTCACTTTACCTCAAGCTTTGATCCAATTTATGCTCTGAATGATCAAGATCAACAAAACTAGCGTCCCAATAGATAAAAAGAGACAATGATTGCTAATTGATTCTATGAGCTTCTTTCATATTTTCAACTATAATAATTAGCATTTTCTTAATAGACTTATTTGCAAGTTTCACGACATCCTCTAAGCCACTATCGCTTCAAACTTAAAGAGTGCGAAGTTTGAATTTTCACTATTTAATCCAAGTAGAATTGTCACTACGTTATCACAATTTTGTTGAAGGAAGTAGTTCTCTTTCTTTCTTTTGTTATCAAATAAAATGTTTCCTTGTAGATACAAAAATTATATACTATTCTAATCCCCAATTTTAGCTATCCACAGACATGTATGCTAAACATGTTCAATTATGGAAATGACCTCAATTACTGAACCGAATAAGCTTAACAACCCTAATCCTTTCATAATGCACACTTGTTAAAGTTGCATACCCCCATAAACAAACCATTTTCTTTCTTTCCGTGAACACGATGATTGCTAAGAAAGCATGCTAATTTAGTACTATGGCCGAAGATTCATAAATTTGAGAAATAATCATGGATTTATTTGAAAGTAACAAAAAGTAACTGTAATAATGATAAAGTAATATTTACTTTGTTTGAAAAGTCATAGGAGCATCAGTTCCATCCCAGATGAAAAGCATCCATTCCTCTTCAGAAATTTCATGCACGTGAACAACCTTTGATACAACCAACAAAAACGTCTTTTAATTTCCGTTCACAACTTTTCTTAAAGTGTAAAAGTTATAGCATATTTTACGAAATGCTTACCTTGCATACCAGATCGAAAGATTCACCAACTTTGATATTCTGTACCAAAAATAGGCTTGTAGGTGCACCTCAATAACAAAGACAACAGATCAGAAGAAGAATCCCAAAAACAAGAAAAGTGATGCCAATATCATAGACAAATCATATTTCTGATGTCAAGAAAAACTAAGTATGCAACACCCATCCTATGAGCTCAAAGGCATTACTTGGGATGATCTTAAATATCTTTTGTGAGGAGGCACTCTTAACTGAGGTGATGAGAGGAGGGCAAAAACAACCGATGCTGTTACCCTCATTGTCCTCGTCCTTGTTTTCCTCTATTTTTTCACATAAAAGGTGTAAAAGTCATGGAACATGATAATTGAACCTTGCTGGAAATATTTGTGAATGAAGCAACAATGCCACTTATGAGAAAGGTTATGATAAAATATATAAGATTATAGTAAATAAACGAAAAACAGTGTTCAAACAATGCCAAAAGCCAAGCAAAATTTCAACCCGGCACATACATTGCAATACAAACAAAAGTGGGAAACAATTTTGCCTCGTACCTACCTGCACCATCAAATTGCTCGAGTGACAATTTCCTTAACTTCTCTACAGTAACATAATCAGTAGCAATGAAATTGTCAGATGTTTGATATGGTTTTAGCGTCGCACCAGTTTTCCCACGAAACAAAGCAAATGAAGATGTTCTACTGTCGAAGAGAAAATAAACATATCCATCATGAACCTTCACCTGAAAAAGAAATGCTTGAAAATTTTTAGGTTTATTATCAAACCATAATGAATGCAGAAATGTTATCATATCAATAGTTTTAAAATGGTTAGTTAAAGATAGTTAATATTTTTTTATTCTAAGGTCTGACCACCAATAAAAAAATCAATCTACATGGAAAGGTATGAGAAATTGAATCCTTCTTTTTTTTTAATATTTCAAATAAGTCATATATGGGAACAAAATAAAGATCGGTAGATAGAAATCAGCATGACTTCCTCCATGGTAAGGAATGCCTTATTCAATAGTGATCTTGTGTACATGAAGCAACCTTTGGGTTTTATTCGTTAGGGGGGCTCAACTGACGGTCGTAAGTGGTATACTCATATTTGGCATGAAAATTTAAGCCAGGTGGTTATTGGTTTTGTTTTAGGCACAATCATGTTGACTACTTTGTTTTTGTCCAAGGGAGATTATTTAACATTGTGATCCTTATTGTGTAAATCATATTAGTGGTCAGGTGGTGAGACTACAGGAATTGATTAAAATAAAAACCGTATCACAAGAAGCAGGCTGCTACTAGAAATGGGGTTTCTTACTACATTTATGTATTAAAGATGTCCACAATAAGAGATTGTACCCTCTTACAAAACGTCTGCTATGGATTTGTTGCAAGAGATTGGCTTCCACAACATGTCATACAACCTAATAATACCCCTATAGAGCAGAATCCTGCCTGACTCATGGTCTGAGATAGTAGAATTGTAAAGGACAAATCTTAATGCATGTGACTAAGCTGGAAAGATGGCTTATCCTACTAAACTAGACATCCCCTTGTTATTGGGTTGGTTAGTCAATTCATGGAGAACATATAAGAGACAGTAGCCAGGAAAGGAAAAGGTTCCAACACAACAGGACAGAATAAGATTGTCACAGTAATCACATAATTTGCGCTATTATTTCAGACAAGCCTCCTTGCTAGGTAGAAAACAAGAAATAAAAAGATAATAGCTGACCACCATGCTCAATGGTGCATTTTACGATCTCTAGAACAGTGTCAAATATCCACCATGCTGTCCTGCTACTTGTATATGGTATCCAGTTTGTTGTATATTCAAACAATGTATATTTATGGTTCTTTACACGTGTGTTTTCCAACTTCCATCCTGGGCATAGTATGGTTTTTTTACTTCTTCTGTATGCATTGAAGCATTAACCGGTGGTTGCTTCCCTCTCGAAATTATGCTGGATGACTAAGTCCTTTTACACTAGTTTACTTATTAAAATCAAAAATGCACTTAACGAACTGCAATAAGCTGCAAATCAGCATTCCAATAGACAACATTCAGCATAGGAGGCAAAGTGTAAGCACGGTGATATAGATAGAAAATTGATTCTGCATTGCAGGCATTTCAATCATAGCACCTCAGACATACACTTTAACATATGCATCTTACTTGAAGCACACAGATAAATTGCAAAAAGTGTCTTTTTTATTAAAATGATATGTAAAGAGAATAGCCAAAAGAGAAGGGAAACAGAGAGATATTTGAAGCACTTTGTATACAGTTCCATCTTGAGAAATAAACTATACCAAAAATATGATAGCAAGGACAAATTATTGCAAGTAATCCATATACGAAAACAACAAAGTAAGAGGAAAAAAATTAGTTAAGAAATCACAAACTAGAAAAGAATGAATATTATATTATACACAATGAACAAGAGAGATTATGTCGTATTTAGAAATTTTTACATCACAGTTCTTAAATTACCTCAACTTGGTGAAGGCAAATTATGTCCCCAGGAGACTCAACTATCGCCAGGTCTGTTCTCTCCTCAATAAAAAATTTCACCGAAATTGCTTGTGTTGAAGAAGTATCAACAAGCTTCAATTCAAGACAGTAATCTGTAGGGGAAGAAAGAAGAAATAAGATCATTCAAGAGGAAATGCAATTGTGCTGTCTCCATTTTAACAAATCAATGAAATGGTATAGATGTCAAAACAATGGACGCATGAAATAAACATTTTCTGGCAGTTTAATTACAATATGCACAAGAGTTTAGAAGCCCTTAACCATAAAAGATACTTCACTGTAGAACAAACATAAATATTTTTTTCTAAAAAAAGGATGGAATATAATATGGATGGCATTTACAACCACCTCTGAATCAAGCTCTCAATTGAGGCTTATGTTCAGGTCTCAAATCTCTAAATGTTTTAATAATTTTTTTGTACGATTTCTAATCAATTAGAAACATTAGTTTCTCTATTGAGGGGTGTGAAGCGTTTTCAAAAGCAACTTTAATTGAAGGTCGTGTTGAGGTCTCAAACAGTGTTGTAAAAGGCGGATAACTCGTCTACATATGCGGGCAAGTATGCAGAATCAGCCCATTTCCAAAAGATGGGCTGATTCGCTCAATTATGTTGACAACCGCATAATTGAGTGGAACGATTAATCACCCGGATAAAATGTATATGCGGGCATTTTTTTCTTTTGGGTTACTGTGGGTTTCAGGTCCAAAAAATGAACTTGAACATATTTTAAACCCAAAACCTACCCGTTTCTTATCTAAAAACCCCGACACTTTCCCCTGTGTCTCTATCCAAGTTAAAAAAAAGAAAACAAAACCCTAAATCATCTTCCTTCTCCACCAGCCACCGGATCTCCTCTTCAACATCTTCCCTCGACTCAGCCTCTTCAACCAGTCTTCACCATCTTCTGCTGACAAGATCTCCTCTTCCATTCTTCTCCACCAGTCTTCAGCGCCTTTTCTGATCCCAAAACCCTAGTGTTCAACATTATCCGTTGAAGCTTCTAGTCTTCACCATCTTCCGTGGACTTCCCCTTCAATTCTGTGATATCTATCAAAGGTCAGAAATCTGAGACTTCAGATTTTTCCAACCTTCAATTCTTTGATATCTCCTTCAATTTTGATTTTAGTATAATTATTTTAGGATATTGTTCTGATTTTGAACTGAGATCAAAATTAGAACTGATAATTATTCGTGGTGTTAAAAGTGATTTTTAACTGAAAAAACTCCTTATTTTTGTGTAACTTGAAGTGCATATTGGAAGAATACTTCTTTTGTTAGTGTTTATGAAAGTTTTATTTTAGTTTAAGTGTTTACTTAGTAACTTTTATTTGAGTAGCTAGTTAATTATGATGTACGCATGGATAATGGATGCATTGGTTTGAGTGTTTAATTAGTTATCTAGTTATTGATTATTCAATCACATGTTTATTAGCATTTTTCTTAGTATATGTTATATCTTTTATGATTTATATACATTTTTATGCAAGAAAAATAATAAATACATGTTAAAAAACTTCAAAAACACATAATCCAGCATAATCCGATTAATCAGCGTATAATCCTAGTAATCGTGGCTCGCTCTCAGACCACATAGATAATAAAACCATGTTCTTGAACATTGGTCTCAAAACTTCTCAATTCAGAAAATTTCTGTGTTGCATAGCTCTCAATTAAAGGTTGTGTTGAGGTCTCCAAAGTCTTGGGGATTTTTACCTTTAAACCCAAAGTTTCACCTTGATTTCTTATTTAAACCCACGTAGTTTTATTTGTATTTATAAACCCAAACAATCATGTGTGTAGTTGTCTTTAAACCCAATCTCTCAAATGAAGGGTACACTTATATAGTCCCCCCCCCTAAAATTTAAAAAATCCCAAATCTTTACCCTTTCTCTCCCTCTCGTCTTCATCATCACCGACTCTCTCTTCTTTTTCATCAAAATCTACCATTTCTGCTCCATCCCTAATCCTCTCTACTTCTTCATCCCAAATCTACTATTTATGCTCCATTCCCAATTTCCTCTCTTCTACTACTTCTTCATTTATTTTCTCTCTCACCTTCGTAACTCACAAGACCTTTCTTTCTTCTACTCTCATCAAACCCATTAAATACTTTTCATATCATTTAATTCATCACATTTAGATACTCTTTTAAGGTATAAATTGAGCCAGCTTTCGATCAATTTTCGATCAACCAATTCCTCGTAAATATTTGTGCACAATTATAGTATTAAATTTTCCATCTTTATTAATCCTAATCCTTATTATTGTTTTTTTAATCACAATTTCGCATGATTGCTCATAAATATGTAGTACATTTAATGAAAATTAATAATATGAAAATATCTAAAATTTTGATTTCAATGAAAATTTTGTTCTAAAATCTTCATTCATATTAAATATGATGAGAAAAACTTTCTAAAAGGCATAAGTATAACAGCAAAAAGTTGTTGATATAGCAACAACAGACATAAATTGCAACAATAACTTGTAGGTATAGCAATAAAAGGCTTAATTGCACTTAAATGCCCTATAGTTTACCTGACCTTGCACCTAAGTGATCTCTTTTTTTCAAATTGAACAAAAAAAATGCCCCAAAGCATTTAAGTGTTGTAGATAAATGCCCTAAAGTTTCAAAATAGCACATTGATACCTTCTTGTTTACCCAATGTTGCATATAAATGCCCCAAAGTTTATAAATGGCCTCACTTAAATACCCCAAAGTTTCTAAAAGTTTCACTTTAGTACATTCTATTATGTGACATAGAGAAAAGATAACATCATCTGGGTTTTTTAAACCATGGGGCATTCATCTGCAACACTTTAATACCTTGGGGCATTTTTTTTGTTCGGTTTGAAACTATAGGGCATTTAAGTGCAAGGTTGGGGAAAATATAGGGCATTTAAGTGCAATTAAGCCGCAATAAAAAGCATAAGTACAGCCATTAAAACCTATAAGTATAGCCATTAAAACCTATAAGTATAGCATCAAAGGACGTAAGTTTTTTAGGTTCATAGGGACAAGTTCAACAACTTTAGTTTAAAAATAAATCAAGATAAAACCTTGGGTTTAAAGGAAAAAAACTCAAACTGTTATGTTTTCTAGGATATTTAGTTTCTCTATATTAGTCAAACATGTCATTTAATATTTCTACATTACTAATGAGTCTTTTTTCTATAATCCTATTGTTCGAAGGGGTGTTTCAAGTCTATAGATATCCTTAGGGCTTCAAGTCTATAGATATCCTTAGGCCAAATAGAAATGGTACAAGTTGACTTTGAATTATAATTAAGCATTGTGCTTCACTTTGCTCCACATTTCTTTGGTGGATTCCAATGAGAAAGAGTTTCACCTATATCTCTAAGGCGTGGTCCTTGGAGTAGTGTTCATGGAATCTCTCTAAGGTGGTGATATGTGTATCTCTGGAGATATCGGCAAACCTCAATTATATGTTGTTTGTTCCAAGGTGGTGCTATTTGTGTCCTCAGAGTGATCAACATCATATCCAGTTCCACTCACCCATCTCACCCATATTGTGTCGGTACCAAATATCCCTTCAACCTTATGTACAAACATAAGTACTGGCTTAGGGTCTGTTTGTTTGCCTAAAAAAGTGAAAAATCAAAGAAATGGAAAACTATTTCTAAGAAGAATTGTTTTGGGAGTGTTTGGTTTGCTAAAAGAAGAAGGAAATCAAAGAAATGGAGATGAGATGAGATGAGTTGTCACCTTATTATAGGATGATGTGAGTGATTTTTTAAGATAATTTGTTTTGATGTTGTTTGGTTGGCGAAAAAAAATAAGGAAATGAATTATAAGAAACATATTTCTTATAATAGGTTGTTTTCTTTTGTTTGGTTCATTCTTAAAAATAAAAAAATAGATGAGATGAGATGAGTTGTCATTATATTATTGGATGATGTGACCCACACTTAAGGAAATTGTTTTCATAGCTTTTTGGGAGGAAATTGATGGAAATGAAATATTAATGAGATGAGATGAGTTGTCACCATCTTATTGGATGATGTGAGTGATTTGAAATGATGAGATGAGTTGAGTGATGTTGTGAATGAAAATAATATTTTATTAGATGTGGTGGATGAGTTGTTGGATGAAAATAATATTTTATTAAATGTGATGGATGTGATGGATGAGTTGTTGGATAAAAATAATATTTTATTAAATGTGGTGGATGAGTTGTTGGATAAAAATAATATTTTATTAAATGTGGTGGATGAGTTGTTGAATAAAAATAATATTTTATTAGATATTGTGGATGGATTTTAGGGATGAAAATGGATGAAATTGTACTTTTTGAGTTTTCTTGGTTTTCATTTCTATTTCTTGGTTTTTTAGGAAATAACCAATCAGGCCCTTAATGTCCAAACTTGGCTAAAAACTCATTTTTAAATTTACCAAGCAGTTAAAGAACTAGGGTTTATGCCCACAAGATAAAAGCTGGCTTTTCCACGCCATTCATCATTCCTTCAAATGTCACATCTGAAAAAACAAAAAAAAACAAAAATTTCTGAAATTTCCTAAACGGTTAAAAGACGAGGTTTAAAGCCTTAACTCAACACTAGTTTTTATCCACCGCTATTCATCACTACCTTCAAAAAATCCATAAAAACCCAAAAAAGTCACTCTCCAAGGGGAAAGGTTGATCGACACGAAACCCCTAAAATGTTAACCGAAACTAGGGTTCTGAAAAAGAGAAAGAGAGAGAGAAAAAAAACGAACCATTTTCTTCAGTCTTCTTTGGGAGCCCGATTTCGGAGACCTTGGCGACGAGGTTCACCCTGACGCTGTAGTTGTCGCTGCTCGATTCGTTCGCCATTTTTGCGAGATTTTCTCCGTAATTTGAGCTGGATAGAAAGGAAGAAAAAAGCCCTGTGTGAGAGCCTCGAAGGGCGGGAATGTGAGAGGACGGTGATGTTACCCCTACTTCTGTTTTGCTGCCAGCCACTGTTAAAATCCCGCCAACCTCCTTTTCGTTAAGGGCGCGTTTGGTCCCTTCTTTTAGAAGGGAAATTGGTTGAAAGTCTTATCAAAAATATTAATTTTAGCAGGTGTTCTTGTAAAAACGTTTCTAAAAAAGATGTTTTTACAAGAAAACCTACCAAATCTGATACTTTTGGCAGGTTTTCCCCTTCTCCCTTATGCAAACAGACAGTCCCTAAGGGGCTGTTTGGATGTCTTTAGGAAACTAGAGTGTTTATGACACAAAATAGAAAGTGGTTATCCACCTCACCACTTTCCATTCGAGTGTTTACATTGTTTGGTTAGGAATTTTTGTGAATCCTAAAATAATAGTATTACATTGTTTGGATAGTGTAATGTAAACTAGAGTATTTATGACACAAAATGAAAAGTGATTATCCACCTCACCACTTTCTACAAGGTTTTGACTTTTTTATTATTTTTTGGACACATTTATGACATTGTGTCAGATTTCCAACAAAATCACTCCTAATTTTGGTGCTTTTGCTTTCGGTGACACCTCATCAAAAGGTGTAAACTTTTCATGTAAAAGAGAATTTAAACAAACAATGTAAAGTGATAAAAGCTGACATTGGGACCCATTTTTTTCACTTTCCATCCTTTTACATAGTAAAAACATACAAACAAACAGCCCCTAAGTGGAGTTTGTTTCACCAAAAATTTAGATCAAAAATTGAGTTTTTTTATATTTTGGGATTCCATATATGATGTTTGTTTAAAAAAAATTAGAATATTGAATCCTAAAATTGCTCAATTTTTAGAATTTGGCAAATCCTCTCAATTGGAGAGGGAAAAAACTCTTAATTGGAGAGGATTTGACAAATCCCAAATTTATCTTTTTGTGGGAGCTAACCTCACCAAGGTAGCATATTCGTCATATTACAAAATTTTGGCATTTTGTAATGCCACAATTTGAGCTTGAAACAAATAAAATATTACAAATTGTAGTATTCTAAATACCAAAATATTAATGAAACAAACAACATTTTAGAATTCTCAACTCATAACAAAACACCTATGGATTTCATATCTCATGGTGAAATCTATATCCTAAAATTATAGTATTTGAAACAAACGCCCCCTAATCTGACTGTTCAGATAGTTCCCTTTAAGTGCATATAAATAACATGTTTGACAAATCTTAGGTTGTGAAAACTAAGTGTTACTTAGGTGCTTAGGTGACTAGGAATGGACGTGGGCTAGGTCGACCCGCGAGCTGATCTGGCCCAGCCCGTCATGGGCCACAACTCGGCCTAGTCCGTAATGGGCCGAGCCCAAACCCGACCCAGGATATACCCAAGTCACAAACCAAGCTGGGTCCAGCCCTAGACCCGGGGTCACAGAAGTAAGCTCGACCCACGCTAACCCAGCCCAATCCTAACTAGGCCCAGTCTGACCCACCCCGACCTATTATATATTTTTTGGTTAGCCTAATTATTCCTTTAGTCCTTTGGGTCTATATCTAGCTGCCAATAAAACAAAACAGTCATAGGTCCTTAGCTCGTGGGCCTTTTGTCCCATTGAGAAACGAAGCATTTAATCTTTAAGCTCAGATTAAGCTCGTCGTTGTCTACTTAAAAGGAATTAAAATTTTTAATACAAGTTTAAAAATAGTTTAATACAAGTTTAAATTACTAAAAAATAAATCAAAAATAATTTTCAAATTGTAAATACAAATTTAATATAATTAAAATGGTAAAATATAGGGAAAAAAATTGGACGAAAAACCCATGGGCCGACCCACGACCCATGGGTCGTGGGCCAGGTCAGGCACGGCCCACACCTAGGCAGGTCGTCGGTCGGCTTGGGTCTAGTCCCAGATCCGGGATCAGAGAAGTAGGTCTGTCTCACTCTGACTTAGCCCGGCCTTGAACAAGGCGGGCCGGGTCACGAGCCTAAACCAGTACGGCCCAAGCAAAGTTTACCTACGATACTCGCTAGAGCTTTTATGCTACTTAACTTGATCTCTGATATGTTTCAGTCCCACTTAGCTTTGATGCCATCATCCAGTATCTATTAAAATTATATCACATGATAAATTTTGGTCAATTATACCTCTGCTATGAATAATTCCCCATATACCTTTCTCCAAGGCCAAACACTCCTTTTTGACCATGGGGTATCGACGTTCGGCTTCTTGCAATGTTCTACTCAGGTAATAGATGCCTTGCTCATGGCCGGCATCGTCATTCTATGCTAAGAGGGCATCAAGAGAATGCTCTATTGCCCACACATAAATCAGGATAAGTTTCCCCGAGACCGGGGCCGCTAAGACCGGTGGATTCGATAGGTAAGTCTTGATCTCATCGAACGCTTGTCGGCAAGGCTCGTCCCATACGAAGGAAACACCTTTCTTCATCAGCTTGGAGAAGGATTAGCACTTAACCAAGAGATTTGAGATGAATCTTCGGATATAAGACAGATATCCTTGCAGTCCTCTTAATTCCTTGAGATTCTTGGGTGGTTGAAGCTCTTGAATAGCTTGCACCTTGTCGGGGTTTATGTGAATTCCCTTCGTCGTGACGACGAATCAGAGGAATTTACCGCTCGACATCCCTAAAAATGACTTCGTGGGGTTCATCTTGGGTTGATAGGATCGCACCCGCTCGAACATCGTTCTTAAGTCTTGAAGATGATCGTCTTTGCTACGACTCTTCACAACCAAGTTATCCACGTAGCATTCGATTATCTTTCATAGATGATCCCGAAAAATTGTGCTCATAGCGCGCTGATAGGTTGCGCCGATATTCTTAAGTCCGAAGGGCAAAACTATGTAATAGTATACCCCTACCGAAGTTCTGAATGAAGTGTTCTTCTCGTCTTCAGGGTGCATCTTGATTTGATTATACCCTGAAAACTCATCCATGAAGGACATCCTTTCGAACCCACAAGTATCGTCGATGATGACGTCTATGATGGGTAAAGGGAATTCGTCCTTTGGACATGCAACATTGAGGTTCCTAAAGTCGATGCAGATATGGATCTTCCATTCTTCTTTAGGACTGGAGCAATGTTAGCCACCCAATCGGGGTGTTGTTCCTCTTTGATGAAGTCTGACTCAATCAGCTTCTTCACTTCGGCTTCGATCGCTTCCATGATTTGTGGACGAAACCATCTTCGTTGTTGTTTGACAGGTTTTGTGTTTGAGTTGATGTTGAGGTGATGCATGGTGATATAGGGATCAAGGCCAGATATGTCCTCGTAATTCTAGACGAAGACGTCAATATATTCCCGAATGAGGGATACAAGGTCTTCTTTCTCCTAGGGAGGTAAGCTGTCGCTGATAAATATGGGTTTGGGATTAGCCTCATCTCCCATATTTATTTGGAGTATCTTGTGCTCCATGGGTGGTTCACGTTGTTCAAACCGACCACTCCATTGGGCACTAACGTGGCGATCCCATGCTTCATCATAATGTGGGATCTGGTCATCCTCTTTGATTTCAGTGGGATCAGCTGTAGCCCCCTTAGCACAGCTCAGCACAAACCGACGAACCAACGAGGCGACGAGGTTAACGAATCGCACGCAAACAACGGAATAAATCCACTCGCGTGCGGAATCAAGCTAACGGGTTGACGAGTCAACGAGTCTCCATCCAAGGGCGGACTCGGACGAATCACGATCGAATCAAGATCGGTTTCGGACTCGAACTCAGAAGTGGATTTACTGCCAAATCAGGGATCAGATTTACTGCCAAATCAGGTCAACGAGTCAAGTCCGGATAATCAACCACAGAACCGGATCACGGACTGAACCGAAAACGGAAAACGACGAAAAACCACGCCTAAGGGGGGCTCGGCCAAAGCCGAGCCACCTATGGGTGGCTCTCTGCTGGATTCAAGGCTCAGAACTTAAAAAGATTGAAGCTTTGGGACTTTGAGGACTTGCTCTTCCAGATCCGATGCTCGGCGATCGTTAACGCCAAATAAGGCTAGAGTTCGAGAGGAACCGGATCTCAGATCTACATAGTCATCCTCCGGATCAAAGCTTGGCCTTTGATCCCGAGAATTAAAGGCTACTATTTCCTTGGCGAAATAGTACCCTCGGCTATTATTTTCTTGGCGAAATAATACTCGTCGTACTGCGTAGATCCGACCGGATCTAGATCTCGCGGTGGTCCATGGATAAACCCCGGCGCAGGCAAACAACCCACGCAAGCGAGCGACCGCAAAACAGGAGCTCGTGATTTGTTCGACAAACAAGGAGAAAGTTGTAATCTTTTTTTTATTTTCTTTGATTTTCATTGTAACTGGATCTTATAAAAAGACCGGATCTTTGTAACTCAAAAAACTGTTATTTAAGATGACAATGGAATCAACAATGAAGAAAGACATGATTTTTCCCACGAACAATCTGGCGACCACAGTGGGAGCCGCCGATCTCGCTGCCGAGATCGGAGCGTCGCAGCCGCGGATCTCAATCCCGGTCGTGGAGGAGGTCGAATACGAGTTCGACCAGCAGAAGTTCGAGGAATACTTGTCGTCCTCGTCCGGATCAACCTCCCCCCGCAAGTCCAAGAAGTTCTCCTCTAGGAGAAAGGCTCGTTGGTACGAAGATGTTGAAAACACCAACGAAGATCTCGCCCCGCTGGATGCCAAAAAGCCGCATCGGGCGAGATTCCTCCAATTCCCAACCAGGTCGGAGCTGCTCTGACCAACCCTTCTGCCGCAGAGGGCGTAGTGACTCTCTCGAAGAGAGCCCGCCAAAGGCAACGACTCTCTCGAAGAGAGCCCGCCAAAGGCAACGTCAACGCCTTACGAAACAATTCGCAAAGGCCATGGAATCAGTTGACGGGATCCGCTACAACGCGGATCTGAAGAACAAGAGAGGCAAACAGCCTCAACAACAGATGAACGGCGCCTCTTCCAAGCCGCCAACAATGGAATGGGTCCGTGTTAAACGGAATCGTTCGACACTAGAAGAACGTATCCGCAAACGCCGCGCACTATCAGCGCAGGCGCGGGCTCAAGCCGAAGAAGTACGTAGAAAGCTGCAGAAGGAAGTGGCAAAGAAACCACCATCAATTCGCAA